AACTCTCAACAATGATCATTTACAAACAAACTTTTTCCTTTTTTACTTTTTTTTGCCTTGTTTTTTGTTGTTTTTGTTTTTACACCCAAAAGATCTTTATTTTTCTTTCTTTTTTTTTGTAAATTTCTTCAGTTAGAAAATCTTAAATGGTGGGAATTGTTTTCTTCACCAACGAATGTGTTCTGTTTATTAAGTGATTATTTGACGTTTGAAAAATGTTCCCATCTCCTCCTCCCTCACCCCCATTCCTCACCTGGACATTATCTATTATCAGGTTTTTATATTTGGAGAAAAAATTAGCTGTTGTTTTTTTAAGCTCCATTTTGATTGTTGTTGTTGTTGTTGTTGTTGATCAGTATCGAATATTTACAACAACCACAAAAGAAGGGAGGGGAGGAAGGGGAGGAGGAGGAAGGGGAGGAGGAGGAAGGAGGAGGAGGAAGGAGGGGAGGAAGGGGAAGGGGGGGGAGGGTAATATTGTTCTTACACGCCTAAAAGTTTTATTTCCGCAAGGTCTTGGATTGTAGGAGGAGGGGGCTAGGGATGGGGCTTGGTTTGGTTTTAGGATGAAGGGGGGACTGATTTAAGAGGGGGGAGAGGGGGGACTATATTATTGGCTATAATCTATGGGAGAAGATGTTTTTGTTTTTTAAGTCAATAATTCCATTACTTATATTGTTATTAAACCAGATGAAGCTAACCTAACTCTAACCAAATACCAATCCTAACCTAACCCTAACCTCACGAACCTAACCTAACCTAACACTACATCTCCTAACCTCCAAGGTAGCGTCAAGGAATATTTATTCACCAGGAAAATAAACAAAGGGTGACTAATGTTCAGGTGATAACTCCTCCCTAACACCAACCCCCTACCCCCCCTACCCTCTATACATTCCACCTCGCCTCACCTCCCCTCACTCCTCCCACCCCCCAACCAACATACACCAAGGAGTAATTAGACTGTATTTGGGAGAGGCAATGGGGCGAGGAAGCCAAGAGGCAGCTGAGGGCTTGAGGAGAGGCACTCTGGAAGAACCAAGTGTCCTTCCTGGTTCTCTGTGGTTTCCTGACGACGACGCTGTAGGAGGGGAAGGAGTGAGGGGAGGTGAGATGGAGGAGGAGAGAGAGAGAGAGAGGGAATGGGGAAAGAAGGAGGAGTCAATTAGGAGAAGAGAGGAGGAGGGGAGGAGATGGAGGAAAAGAGTAATTAGAGAGAGAGAGGGAAAGGGGGAAGAGAAGGGAGGAGTCAATTAGAGAAAGAGAGGAGTGAGGGGGGAGAGAGGGGAAAGAGTCAGTTAGAGAGAGAGGGAAAGAATCAGACAGAGGGTATGGAGGGAAGAGGGAGTGGGGAAGGCGGGAGATGATTAGAGAGAGAGAGAAAGGATAGAAAGAGGGAAGGAGTTAGTTAGAGAGAAAAAGGGAAAGACGGAGAGAGAGATAGAGTCAACGAATGGGAGGGAAGAAAAGAGGAACGAGAGAGACGGAGAGAGAGAGAGAGAGAGAGAGAGAGAGAGAGAGAGAGAGAGAGAGAGAGAAGAGAGAGAGAGAGAGAGAGAGAGAGAGAGAGAGAGAGAGAGACTCCGAAGGACCCCTGATATCACAACAGTACACAAGACATAGACTCCACAAGGCGAAACACATTAGGTATCCGTAGATGAAGAAACCTAACCTAACCTAACCCAACCTAACCTAACCTCACCCAACCCAACCTAACCCAACCTTAACCCAACCTAACCTTAACCTAACCTAACCTAACCTAACCTAACCTTAACCCAACCCAACCCAACCCAATCTAACCTAACCTAACCTAACCTTAACCTAACCTAACCTTAACCTCACCTAACTCCATCCTAACCTAACCCAACCCAATCAACCTAACCTAACCTCACCTAACCTAACCTAACCTAACCTAACCTAACCTAACCTAACCTTAACCCAACCTAACCTAACCCAACCTAACCTAACCTCACCTAACCTAATCTATAACCTAACATACACATTTGGTTGTTGTTATAATATAGACTGTTTATATAGTAGTAGTTGTTGTTGTTGTTTATTAATGTATAAAATATATAAATCGATCAGCGTGATGTTGATATAAATTCTGCTGTAAGATTTTCATTAAGAAGAAATACATTTAGTGTTGTTTAAATAATTTATATACTTGATTAATTTCCATCTATCGATTTGTTTTGTGTCTTATTTATTTATTTAGTCATTCATTTATCTCTCTCTCTCTCTCTCCTCACACACGCTTCACTCTCACTCTCTCCTGCCCCTTTCCCCTGTGGCCCAGCAGGGGGTTGGGGGGCGGCATTCACCTGGTCATTACCCCATTAGCGAGTGACAGGTGCGGGTGACACTCCGAGTGTGGCCCAACGCGGCACCAGAGACTCAATTAAATCTGGAAATTGCTTGATTAGTGTTAGAAAGACGTGGATAATGAAACAGTGGAGGGAGAGGGGTAGGGGGGAGGGAAGGAGAGGAAGGGAAAGAAGAAAGAGAGGGAAGGAGGAGGGAGGGAGGAGGAAGGAGGAAGGAGGGTAGGGGAGGAGGAAGGAGGGAAGGAGGGAGAGGAGAGGAAGGGGAAAGGAGGAAGGAAGAGAAAAAGGAAAGATGAAAAGAGAGGAAGAAAGGGGAGGGAAGGAGGAGGAGGGAGGGTAGGGGAGAGGAGAAGGAAGGTGACAAGGGAGAAAAAATGAAGGAAGAAAAAAGGGAGGAAAGGTAGGAGAGAAAGGAAAGAACAGATGGAAGGAAAAAGTGAAGGGGATAGAGGGAAGGAAGAATAGAGAAAGGAGGGAGGGAGGAAGGGGAGGGAAGATGGCAGGGGAATAGCAATGGTGGAAGGAAGAAGAGAGAGAGGGAGGAGAAAAGGGAGGGAGGAGAGAGTATAATACTTTCGAGAGAAAGAGGGTAGAGAGTGTTGGGAGGAGGGAGGGAGTGTTGGAGGGAGGAGGTTGGAGGGAGGAGTGTTAGAGGGAAGAGGAGGGAGGCTGAGGGAGGAAGTGTGGGAGGGAGGGAGTATTGGAGGGAGGGAGGTTGGAGGGAGGGAGTATTGGAGGGAGGAGTGTTGGAGGGAGGGAGTGGAGGGAGGGGAGTATTGAGGGAGGGAGTGTTGAGGGGGAGTGTTGAGGGAAGTTGGTTTCATTTATTGCTTAATGTACGATTAATTATGTTACCACCATCACTACAACCACCATCACTACAACCACTAACACAGCCATCACCACCACTAACCCCCACCTCCACCACTAACCCCCACCACTTCCACCACTAACCCGCACCACCATCACCACCACTAACCCCACCACTTCTCCACCACTAACCCCCACCACTTCTCCACCACTAACCCCCACCACTTCCACCACTAACCCGCACCACCATCACCACCACTAACCCCCACCACTTCCACCACTAACCCCACCACTTCCACCACTAACCCCACCCCCTCTCCACCACTAACCCCCACCCTCCACCACCAACCCCACCCCTCCACCACCAACCCCCACCACTTCCACCACTAACCCCACCACTTCACCACCACTAACCCCCCACCTCTCCACCACTAACCCCACCCCACCACTCAACCACACCCCACTAACCCCACCTCTCCACCACTAACCCCTCACCACTTCCCACCACCACCTGCACCACCATCACCACCACTAACCTCGCACCACCATCACCACCACTAACCCGCACCACCATCACCACCACTAACCCCAACTTTCTCCACCACTAACCCCCACCCCTTCTCCACCACTAAACCCCACCTTCACCACCACTAACCCCCACCCTTCTCCACCACTAACCCCCACCCTCTCCACCACTCAACCTCCCCACTCTCCACCACTAACTCCCACTTTCCACCACTAACCCCCACCACTTCACCACTAACCCGCACCACCATCACCACCACTAACCCGCACCACCATCACCACCACTAACCCGCACCACCATCACCACCACTAACACAGCCATCACCACCACTAACCCCCACCCTTCTCCACCACCAACCCCACCACCACTCCACCACCAACCCCCACCCCTCTCCACACTAACCCCACCACTTCTCCACCACCAACCCCACCCCTTCACCTCCACAACCCCTCACCCACTTCCACCACTAACCCCCACCATTCTCCACCACTAACCCCTCAACCTCTCCACCACTAACCCGCACCACCATCACCATCACCAACCCCCACTACCATCACCACCACTAACCCCCCCACTCTCACCACCACTAACCCCCCTCACACTACCACCACTAACCCCACCACTTCCACAACAACCCCACCACTTCCACCACTAACCCCCCACCCACCACCACCAACCCCACCACCTCTCCACCACTCAACCCCCACCCTCTCACCACTAACCCCACCCTCTCCACCACCAACCCCACCACTCTCCACCACTAACCCCACCACTCTCCACCACCAACCCCCACCACTTCCACCACTCAACCCCCACCCTCCACCACTAACCTCATCTCCACCACTCAACCCCACCACCTCCACCACTCAACCCCCACCACTTCCACCACTAACCCCACCCCTCTCCACCACTAACCCCACCTCTCCACCACTAACCCACCTCTCTCCACCACCAACCCCACCCCTCTCCACACCAACCCCCACCCCTCTCCACCACTAACCCCCACCACCACCAACACACTAACCCCACCCCCTCTCCACACCACCAACCCCCACCTCTCCACCACTCAACCCCACCCCTTCTCCACCACTAACCCCCACCTCTCCACCACTAACCCACCACCATCACCACTACTAACCCCCACCTCCACCACTAACCCCACCACTTCCACCACTAACCCGCACCACCACCACCACTAACCCCACCACCTCCATCACCAACCCCACCACTTCTCCACCACTAACCCCACCTTCACCACACCAACTCCCCCCACCCTTCACCACTAATCAACCCCCACCCTTCTCCACCACTAACCCCCACCACTTCTCCACCAACAGGCTTCAGCTCAGAGTCATTGCTAGGGAAGCCCGGTGATCCTTCCTCCCTCGGCCTCTCAAGGAAAAAGAAGAAGAAGAGAAGACACAGGTAAGCCTTAATTAACACACCTGTCCTATCAACAGGTGTGGAAGACACAGGTAAGCCTTAATTAACACACCTGTCCTATCAACAGGTGTGGCAAGGTGAGATAATTTAGTGATGTATTAATGTATATTGTTCTATCTAACCTTTATTTACCTATCTATATATTTATATTCTTTATCCAAAACCATTATCCATCTATTTATTTATCTATTTATATATCCAATTACATAAAAAAATGATAAAAGAATAAAATAACCAATAATTTAATGATGTATAATAAATAAAATAATAATTACATAAATATCCAAAAATACATATTTATATAATAAAATATATATAATAAATCCAATAATCCAATAAACAAGAAAACTGATAATAATAATAATAATAATAATAATAATAATAATAAAAATAATAATAATAAATAAAAATAATAATAATAATAATAATAATAATTATAATCCAATAACAAAAATTAAGTGATTTATGAACACATGGAAAAATAAATAAATAAATAAATAAATATATATATATATATATATATATATATATATATATATATATATATATATATATATATATATGTATATAAACAGGTAGATAGAATACTGTATAAGTAATAAAATATATATAACCAATAAAATAAATTAAAGACAGTAGATAAACATTCAATGTTTTCCTTAAAGTTAAAATATAATAAAAAATAAATGACAAGGAAAAAATATAACTGATTAAAATCAACTAAAAATCAAATGAATTATAGAGAATAAATTAGACAGAATAAAATAAGCCAAGTTTGTGTTTTTATTCGTTTGTTATTAAGTAAATGGAACAACCGGTGTGTTTGTTGGTGGTGGAGGGTACTGGTAGGTGTGGAGGGTACTGGTAGGTGGTGGAGGCACTGCAGGTGGGGAGGGTACTGGCAGGTGGTGGAGGGTACTGGCAGGTGGAGGTACTGGTAGTGGGAGGTACTGGTGGTGGGAGGGCACTGGTGGTGGTGAGGCACGTAGGTGATGGAGGTACTGGTAGGTGGGGGAGGGTACTGGTAGGTGGAGGGTGCTGGAGGTGGGAGGTACTGTAGGTGGTGGAGGGTGACAGGTGGTGGTAGGTGATGGAGGGTACTGGTAGGTGGGGGAGGGTACTGGTAGGTGGCAGTGGTAGGTGGAGGGTGCTGGTAGGTGGTGGGAGGTACTGGTGGAGGGGTACTGGTAGGTGATGGAGGGCACGTAGGTGGTGGAGGGGTGGCTGGTGGGTGGAGGGTACTGGTAGGTGGAGGGTGGTAGGTGATGGAGGTGGCTGGTAGGTGGTGGAGGTACTGGTAGGTGGAGTGGCACTGGTAGGTGGAGGGTACTGCAGGTGATGGAGGTACTGGTGAGGTGATGGTACTGGTAGGTGGGGAGGGTACTGGTAGGTGATGGAGGTACTGGTGATGGAGGTACTGGTAGGTGGAGGCACTGGTAGGTGGAGGGTACTGTAAGTGATGGAGGGTGCTGGTAGGTGGTGGAGGTACTGGTAGGTGGGAGGGTACTGGTGGGTGGGAGGGTACTGGTAGGTGGGGGAGGTACTGGTGGGTGGGGAGGGTACTGTAGGTGGGGAGGTACTGGTAGGTGGTGGAGGAATTGGTAGGTGGTGGAGGGTGCTGGTAGGTGGTGGAGGTACCAGGTGGTGGAGGGCATTGCAGGTGGGGGAGGGTGGCTGGTAGGGGTGAGGTACTGGTAGGTGGGGAGGGTACTGGTAGGTGGTGGAGGGCACTGGTAGGTGGTGGAGGGGTACTGGTAGGTGGTGGAGGGTACTGGTAGGTGGGGGGAGGGTACTGGTAGGTGGGGGAGGGTGCTGGTAGGTGGGGAGGGCACTGCAGGTGGTGGAGGGCACTGAGGTGGTGAAGGGACTGCAGGTGGTGGGGGCACTGGTAGGTGGGGAGGGTACTGGAAGGTGGTGAGGTACTGGTAGGTGTGGATGACTGGTAGGTGTTGGAGGGCACTGGTGGGTGGTGGGAGGGTACTGGTGGAGGTACTGGTAGGTGGGGAGGGTACTGGTAGGTGGGGGAGGGCTGGGTAGGTGGGGGAGGGTGCTGGTAGGTGGGTGAGGTACTGGTAGGTGGTTGAGGTACTGGTAGGTGGGGGAGGGCATTGGTGGGTGGGGGAGGTGCTGGTAGGTGGGAGGAGGGTAGGTGGGTGGGAGGGTACTGGTAGGTGGTGGGAGGGCTGGGTGGTGGAGGTACTGGTAGGTGGGGGAGGGATGCAGGTGGGGGAGGGTACTGTAGGTGGTGAGGGTACTGGTAGGTGGTGGAGGGTACTGAGTGGGTGGGAGGTACTGGTAGGTGGGGGAGGGTACTGGGAGGTGGTGGAGGCTGGTGGGTGGTGGAGGATGCTGGTAGGTGGTGGAGGGTGCTGGTGGGTGGTGGAGGGTGCTGGTGGGTGGTGGAGGTGCTGGTGGGTGGGGGGAGGGGGTGCTGGTGGGTGGGGAGGGTGCTGGTGGGTGGGGAGGTGCTGGTAGGTGGGTGGAGGGTGCTGGTGGGTGGTGGGAGGTGCTGGTGGGTGGGGGAGGTCGTGGGTGGGGAGGTCAGTGGGTGGTGGAGGGGGTGCTGGTGGGTGGGGGTGGAGGGTACTGGTGGGTGGTGGAGGTACTGGTGGGTGGTGGAGGGTGCTGGTGGAGGTGGGGGAGGTGCTGGGAGGGTGGTGGAGGTGCTGGTAGGTGGTGGAGGATGCTGGTGGGTGGTGGAGGGTGCTGGTGGGTGGTGGAGGTGCTGGTGGGTGGTGGAGGTGCTGGTGGGTGGGGAGGGTGCTGGTGGGTGGGGGGGGTGCTGGTGGTGGGGAGGTGCTGGTGGGTGTCTGGTGGGTGGAGTGCTGGTGGTGGGAGGTACTGGTGGTGGTGGAGTGGTGGAGGTGACTGGTAGGTGGGAGGGTACTGGTAGGTGGGGAGGGTGCTGGTGGGTGGGGGAGGTGCTGGTGTGGGTGGGTGGAGGTGCTGGTGGGTGGGAGGTGCTGGTGGGTGGGGGGGAGGGTGCTGGTGGGTGGTGGAGGTGCTGGTGGGTGGGGGAGGGTACTGGTGGGTGGGGGGGTGCTGGTGGGTGGGGGAGGTGCTGGTAGGTGGTGGAGGTGCTGGTGGGTGGAGGAGTGCTGGTGGGTGGTGGAGGGTGCTGGTGGGTTGGGGAGGGTGCTGGTGGGTGGTGGAGGGTGCTGGTGGGTGGGGGTGCTGGTGGGTGGGGGTGCTGGTGGGTGGTGGAGGTGCTGGTGGGTGGTGGAGGTGCTGGTGGGTGGGAGGTGCTGGTGGGTGGTGGAGGGTGCTGGTGGGTGGTGGAGAGGTACTGGTGGGTGGGAGAGTGCTGGTGGGTGATGGAGGGTGCTGGTGGGTGGTGGAGGTGCTGGTGGGTGGGGGAGGGTACTGGTGGGTGGTGGAGGTGCTGGTGGGTGGGGAGAGGTGCTGGTGGGTGGAGGTGCTGGTGGAGTGGTGGAGGTGCTGGTGGGTGGTGGAGGGTGCTGGTGGGTGGTGGAGGTGCTGGTGGGTGGTGGAGGGTACTGGTGGGTGGTGGAGGTGCTGGTGGGTGGAGGTGCTGGTGGGTGGTGGAGGGTGCTGGTGGGTGGTGGAGGTGCTGGTGGTGGTGGAGGTGCTGGTGGTGGTGGAGGTACTGGTGGGTGGTGGAGGTGCTGGTGGGTGGTGAGTGGAGTGGTGGAGGGTGCTGGTGGGTGATGGAGGTGCAGTGGGTGGTGGAGGTGCTGGGTGTGGGTGGTGGGAGGTGCTGGTGGGTGGGGAGGTACTGGTGGGTGGGGGGGTGCTGGTGGGTGGTGGAGGGTGCTGGTGGGTGGGGGGGTGCTGGTGGGTGGAGGGTGCCAGTGGTGGTGGAGGGTGCTGGTGGGTGGGAGGGTGCTGGTGGGTGGGGTGCTGGTGGGTGGGGGTGCTGGTGGGTGGTGGAGGTGCTGGTGGGTGGTGGAGGGTGCTGGTGGGTGGTGGAGGTGCTGGTGGGTGGTGGAGGTGCTGGTGGGTGGTGGATGGTACTGGTGGTGGTGGAGGTACTGGTGGGGTGGGAGGGTGCTGGTGGTGGGGAGGGTGTGCGGTAGGTGGGGGAGGTACTGGTGGGTGGTGGAGGTGCTGGTGAGGTGGTGGAGGGTACTGGTAGGTGGTGGAGGGTACTGGTGGGTGGTGGAGGTGCTGGTGGGTGTGGTGGAGGGTACTGGTGGGTGGTGGAGGTGCTGGTGGGTGGGGGGGTGCTGATGGGTGGAGGTGCGGTGGGTGGTGGAGGTGCTGGTGGGTGGTGGAGGGGTCTGGTGGGTGGTGGAGGGTGCTGGTGGGTGGTGGAGGTACTGGTGGGTGGTGGAGGTGCTGGTGGGTGGTGGAGGGTGTGGTGGTGGGTGGGGTGCTGGTAGGTGGGGAGGGTGCTGGTGGGTTGTGGAGGGTGCTGGTGGGTGGTGGAGGTGCAGGTGGGTGATGGAGGTACTGGTGGGTGGTGGAGGGTACTGGTGGGTGGTGGAGGGTACTGGTGGGTGGTGGAGGTGCTGGTGGGTGATGGAGGTGCTGGTGGTGGAGGGTGCTGGTGGGTGGTGGGTGCTGGTGGGTGGGGGAGGGTGCTGGTGGGTGGTGGAGGGTGCTGGTGGGTGGTGGAGGTGCTGGTGGGTGGTGTGCTGGTGGGTGGAGGTGCTGGTGGGTGGGGGGTGCTGGGTGGGTGGTGGAGGTGCTGGTGGTGGGGGTCTGGTGGGTGGTGCGTGGGTGGTGGAGGGTACTGGTGGGTGGTGGAGGTGCTGGTGGTGGGGAGGGTGCTGGTGGGTGGTGGGTACTGGTGGGTGATGGAGGGGGTGCTGTGGGTGGTGGAGGCACTGGTGGGTGGTGGAGGGTACTGGTGGTGGTGGAGGTACTGGTGGGTGGTGGAGGGTACTGGTGGGTGGTGGGTGCTGGTGGGTGGTGGAGGTGCTGGGTGGTGGAGAGTACTGGTGGGTGGTGGAGGTACTGGTGGTGGGTGCTGGTGGGTGGTGGATGGTGCTGGTGGGTGGTGGAGGGTGCTGGTGGGT